AGATTAGGGCCGTTATCCATTAACAATACTCCGTTTGCAAGCGGTTTGCCAGACGTGTCTCTCCCAATGGGGAGTCTTGGCCAACAGCTTCCTTTGCTACCGGCTTGCAAACCCTTTTGAAGCAGATTGGAGCTTGTCCCACTTTCGAAATTGGACTCGATTGCAGGTGCGGGGACAGTTGGGCGTATTTTCTGTACCGCAACTCGTAGGTCAAGGTAGCGAATGCCTGCTGAAAGCTGCTCGATTAGACTGCTTAGTTGGGTGCGTGACCAGCCAACAAAAAAACTACGACCCAGTCGGCCAGTGAAAAGGGGGGCAGATGTCAGACCGGGAGTATGAGGTGCCAGGCGACTGTGCTGAGTGATGCTATAGGAGGCGGAGTCGTGGCTACCTATGGATAAATTAGATTAGGTAAGATATTTAAACTATAAAATTTACAAAAACTAACTAATTTAATTTATAAAGTCAGCTCAATTCGCCTTTTAGATTAATTTAGCTAACAATTTTTTCTCACCCATTGAGAGAGTTAATTTAACTAAATTTGACTCCATTATGCCCTGCTGCTTTTTCTTAAACTCAGCGGTTCAAAACAATCTGAATAAACGATTATGAAATAATATTCCTAATATAACTTATTCGAAGAATGCACGTATCCTGAATGGAGTAGAATAACCTTTAATATGGTACATAATCTCATTGAATACGAGGTTACCTGGCAGTAAGAGGTCATTCAAATGCTTATAATTCACAGATTTAGAAATATTTTATCGGCCCTTCCAGCCACTAGTAGATGATAGGCTTAAAATACAGAATTAAGCAGTCAAAATAAGTCCCTTGCAGAATTAAAGCAAAAAAGCTGTGCGCATGGTATTTTGTTTTATATAGCAAACTTTATCTTAACTTATCTTGAAGGCGAAAGCGTTTCTAATTCATCTTATCGTTTCTAAGTCTCCAAAATATTCAACCAGAATGTCCGATCCATGTGTGAAGGCGGGGGCGCAGGAAGATGCGAAGAGGACTACGACACATGAATCAATAGTATCAACTCCCCTTTCGATTTCCGAATGAGATAATCAATTAATCCCTTCTATCCTATTTTGTATTCGAAATTACAGATCCAGTAACTCAAAATTTAAAGTATTATTTACCTTATTCTACAAAATTTAAATTTCTAAAATAGTAAATAGTTAATTGTTATCAACAATTCAGAGCCCGGAAATCTTCCCAACTCATCTACAGCCTATATCTAATTCATAAAACATATAGTTCACCTTCAAATTTACATTTTATTATAAGGTTGTGCTCTTATCGTTTGTTAGGATCAAAAATGATTTGAGTCTCACTCGGCGGCACTTAAATTTCATAATTGCAACATTCTAGGCTTGATTGAGTTAGCTGCGCTAACCAACATCAGACCAAACTTAATGATTTAGGCCAGGAATAATATCACTTGGATTGGGGAAAGTACACAACCCTGGGTCAGTCAATTGGGCAGTCTTAAGCTACTTTTAAAGTAACATTCCGAGTTAACTCAAACAGTTTGCTTATCTCGAGGCTGGGAGCAAGCCAGCAGAATTTCTTCAAATAGTCCAGAATCCTTCGCAATTAAGGAATCAAAGTTCGCTCTCTGATCAACAAGGAATTCGTCTAGACCCAACTAACTTTATTGGTGAGGCCTTCATTTCGTATGAAAGTGCATGAAGGAGAGCTTCGTACGTTGATCTCACCAGAAGAAGACGAGACATCCTCCCTCACTTCGAGTGAAAACAGGTTGAGCTTTCGTCTATCTGCATATGATAATATGCTTTATCGATAATTCTACCATAAAATGGGATATAGGAAAATGCCTAGCCTTTCTTAAAATTCATATCTGCCCTGTGACTCAAGGACATTCGTGGCAATGCGGCGTAATGGTTAACGTGTCGAGATTATGAGCTGCACTACCATGGTTCGAGTCCATCTAGGAGTACTGATGAAACCCGGGCGAGGTCGAAACTACAGTCAACCCTGTATGAGAATAGCTTTTGGAAGTTCAAAGCTATGGAAAACGTAAGGTATACATATAGCACTGTGGTAAAATTCAACTATCAGTCCCCTTATCCCCTTAAACGAAATAGGTTTAATACACTTTCAAAAAATGACCTACTTATAAAAAAAACTAAATAAAGGAACAAAATATCTTAGAAAGTACAGAGTCCACCAATCAAGAATAACTACTAATAGTCAGAAGATATCTCTACGACTAAATAAAAATTCATGGAATATGTATATTGTTTATCAGCGTTTGAGAAAGGCTAAGGAAACCTTGACAAGGAACAAAATAGTAAAGACCTTTTCGGCCTTTCAGCAATACTTAAAATACAGTCCCCCTTCTGTCCATGTTGTAAAACGTTTTTCCAGCATCAGACCACTAATTAGGTATGTTCTCAGATGCTTTGCCAACATAATAGTCACTATTGTTCGTAAGTAGCGCCACCCTTGTCACCAAGGGTTGGCTTATCCGATAAGTTGAAATAAGTAAACTATTTAGCAAAAATGAGGCGTGAAAACTAGGTTAAGCCAACTGCATTCAACAAAAAGAGACTGAAATTAAATAAAAGACTGAACCGCCTTAATCTTCCTATCTACGATCTAACTATGCTCCAAAGACTATCAAACATTAAAATGGCTAAAATAGAGCATAGAGTAGAATGGTAAATGCTAAGGATGGTGCTGCCCACTGATAAAAGCTGAGAAACGTATGAGAATGTAAGAAGTCAAAAATCTGACTTAAATAACAAGGAAAGAGAGCGTATTATGAAGCCAGTTTCTTAAAGTCCCCCTCAAAGCGCAACCAAGTTTATAAAACAAGGTCAAACCAAAAGAATTCTAAACATGGTCATGTATGTAAAATTGAAAGAACTCACCACCCCGCTACAGAATTACGTATGAATACTTGGCTACAATTCCTTAAGTGACCTAGCGTGATTAAAATTCTTATTCATTAGTTATTAAGAGTATCGAAAAATACTTACAGCGGGTACAAAATATGACCTAGGTAGGACTGGCTGCAAAAGGATTTGGATTCCTTACGACAAAGCGTATCAATAGAATGATTTCTAAACGAATGTCATAATTATCGTAGGAGCACAGATAATCCTTAGTCTGTAAGGCTAACAACTATTATCTAAAAGTGTATAGAATAGAAATTGCGTCATAGCTACAAGTCAAAAATTTGGCCAACGCTGTAAAGGCAAGTGATCCTGAGGGCTCAGCCCGTAAATAGTCGTGGAAAAATTAAGACCTACACAAAAACAGAATAATATGCCAATTAAGTCGAATGATAAATGGTTTAAACAAGCTAGCACAAAATATCTCCGCTTGTTAAATCACTCCTTTCGTTGTTTACCCAACTTGGTCATATTGGTAGGAAGACTTATAAGGAACGCACTTAGTCTGGATTCCATTTTATGCATGATCATTTCCAGAGTCAGACCGTGGGCGTGGTACATTCCTAGACGTTTCGCCGGCATCGTGGTCAGCATCGTCAGTGAGTCTTGCCAGCCTTAGCACCACACTACAATTCGTCAAAGAAACAAGTGAAGTCAATCCTTTTGACCAATTGTATGCTAAACAATTGCGGTATTTCTCTTTCCCCCTGGGCTAATCACCAATCCTATATCCTAATATCGCCTCTTCACTATCACAATTTTTTCTTTGCTTATTTAAATGTGGTATTGGGTGTCTTTTTGAGTGAATTTCATGAGAACTCTCCACACCCAAAGCTGCCTTTCTCATTCCATAACCCTCCTTCACCCTTGTGCTGGAAATGTTGATGAAAGTCCGTTAAGTTGTTTCGCAGTCCTCCTTCCTTAGGTCTTATCAGAGTCTCCCTCTTGCCCCCTCTTGTGTGCCAACACACAAATTTTGGTTCTACTTGTTTTTATTTGGTTCAATGTTGAACCACAACATTTATGGGTTGGCCCACAAGAGACTAAAGCATAGGAAGTCATAGACCTGATATTAGGGATAAAAG